GTCGTAGAACAACTTATTAAAAGTTCATGACATGCAAACAAGCGCTCCACTCCGCTGCGCTGCGTGCGCGGCCCGCACGCCGGCCGGCCGGACTGCGACTGCCGCCGACATGACCCGAGGCTGGACCGCAAGTGGGCGGAGCCAAGCCGCAGTGTGCTAGTGCGTCTCGACCAATCAGAGGGGAGACAGCGTCCAGCCTGTGTCAGCCTCTAAGCATGGCTCTGACGACCTTAACATTATCAGTCAATGACAAGTGCCTTTATTTTTCATTTTTCGTTAATAGACCATATTGATAAAAATTAGGTAGGGATCTCAAACTACCAATGCCAAAGTTTGGTTAAAATCAAACGCATATACAACGAGAAATAGCCGAAAAGGACTGTTCCACAGGGTCTGAAACGCATAGTAACTATTCCAATTGTGCCATCATACCGCTCGCCATGCCATCTGTGCTTCCATGGCGTGGAGCGGAGATTGCATGGGTGGCCAATAATCCCGCGAATCACCGCATCCGCCGGAAGCGCTCTCGCTGTCTCTGAGGATGGGTGACGCGACGGCCCCGCTGCTGCAGCGGTCCGTATTGATCCCAACGTCACGTTTATAATAGGGTTCTGATGGCCTCCTTGCTATTCAGAGCTCTGTATGAAGAGGGCTGATCGTGCATCTTAGTGTGATGGGTCTAATGGGCCGACCGCTCTATCGCCATGGTTTATAGAGTGGTTGATACACTTGGCTGGTTAAGGGAGGCAGAGTAATGATTTATGAATCGGTTGATGGTTTATGGCAGTAATTCGGATAGTCTCGCCTTCGTTGCGCCAATCACTTGCCTTAGTTTACGGCATTGGTGATGGCGTTGTTCTGTTGACTCCGTAATAATGACGGCTATCGCATCTATCGGACTGCGCCTATGGTGCTCGAGCTGCCGTCAGCGGCTATCGCTGCGAGACCCGCTGTTAATGGACACTCAGTGGCAAATGAGGCAGATATATTGGTGGCGGGCGTGGACCCTGAGCGATGGTCTGTCCGCTGGTAATGTCCGTCCCTCTGACAGAGCGCCTCGGGAGTCGCGCACAGTCCCGGGGACCGACTTCTTGTGGCATAACGTAGGTAATCGTAGAAACCACACCGTCCAACGTGTGCAAATTACCGTCAGCCAGTTTTTAGTCCGTTTTGTGGAGAATGATGGAGTAGAGCTAAATTTATGTGGAAGACTTATCGATTTTTTTCACCCATCTGCGTAGCGAAGTGATGTAGGATGTCGCTAAGTGAATCAAATTCAACAGAAAAGTCAGATCATAGTCCCTTCGGTGTATTTTAGGCTCCGGAACACTACTCTAGATGCCTACCGCCCGCAGTTTCAGTCACTCTGCACGAGACATCTGCCACCATTTATGCATAATTCATCTGGTCGTTGCATACATTGCTCCAGTGCATTGTGTAGCAGATATGCCGCAGCCACCGTAGTTTCAAGCCGGTTTAGTGTCAGCTTTGGTCTGTCAGCCCCGCCTTTGTTGAGCAGTTTCGAGCAGACACTACTAGTTAATTCCCGATAGTGCAGAGGGCAGGCAGGCGGTCGCCAGGGCCTGGTGTCCTCCGCCGTCACTGCTAGCTCGCAGCTGCCCGGCCCGCGGCGGTGCAGTGGCAGGGCAGCTGGCCGTCACGGGCTCACTGTGGTTTGTGGCCGCCCCGAGCCACGGGACAGGTGCGGCTCGGTGTGGGGGTGAATATCGGTACCAATCGGTACGGCCGGGTGGCTGTGTCATCATGTGTCGTTGAAGGGGTACTGGCGAAGATAAGTATTCGATTTCTGAGAGCTCGTTTGTCTCCCAGAACTGTGGATGAAAGGGGCAGTAGCTGACAGTATCCCGTGCCCTGATGGGGGGGGGGCATTTTGCCCCCCTCCCCTGGGGTTTTTCTTAAATAGCGAGAAAACGGCAAATTTTGGGTACCTTACCGGGCATCAATTTGACACCTTCACACAAATTTCAAGTCACAGGCCACCTCAGGTCAGGAGTTATTGAGGTCAAACTGAGGTTATGTTCTAGTAAAAATGAGCAAAAAACATGACATCTTGAAACGCTCACCAATTCTACAGTTAACAAGCAATTTTAAAGTTCTTTATGTGGTTGTGTAGAGAAAAGACGGGGCTACAAAACTGCTATCTCGGATTTTCGAAATTTTAGGATTTTCACCCCCAAAAATAAAAAAAAAAATTAAAGAAACTCAAAAAATTTCCAAGTTTTTTTTCGAATTTCGAAAAAACGGAATATATGTGATAGTCCCTGCGCTCTTCGATATACATACCAAATTTTAGATCGATACCTCTTTTTTTGGCCAAGTTATAGCGAAAAAAAAAACTATTAAAAATTGATGACGTCAAATTTTTGAACTCAATTTTTAGCAATTCTAGACCTCGTAGCGCAAAACAGAGACCACCATTGAACTCCTCCCCGTGACGAGCTGCATCGAATCGATACCCATTTTATGCAAAAATATCAACTTTGAAATTTGACCTAATTTGACCTGACCTTGACCTGACCTTGACCTGGCCTTGACCAGAACGTGACCTAAGCTGGCCCAAAAGTCTGCCCCCCAGTGACCTGACCTCTGTGACCTGACCTGGTATCAGTGACCTCAAATAGCAAAATATGTGTTTGAAGAACATTTCCCCATCGATGATTTTCAATGAAATGCATTTTATTCGATTTTACAACGCATTTCTTGAAATGCCTGTAAACGGTGAAAATTCGACCTTTGACCTGACCTGTGACGTCATCGGTTTGACCGAGGTCAATGAAATTGGGTCACAAGTAGAGTTGCAAAATTTCCCTACCGCACTACCGGCATGCCGGTAATTTTTCACTACCGCAGGTTTTTTCGTGGTAGCTGGCATGTGTTGCCGGTAGCATGCCGGTATTTCAACATGGCCGAATCTGTAGTTTTTTATATTGTGATTTGTGACTATCTATAGTTCATTATTTGGTTGGTACCTGTAACATTTTAGGAGAATGTGGAAAATAAGAACGGTTGTGGTAAATGTGATTGCTGCTCACTGTGCAGTCTTCAGAAACACATTTCTGTGCCTAATTCAAGTTCTTTTTGTCCTTGCTTTTTTGATGAATGTGTTAATGTTTTTTTGTAGGCAATACCTCTTTGATTACAGGTGATATTTTAACAGCTGTAGACTGGAATTGAGTTTCAAAATTGTGGTATTTGTGGGGCCAACAGCCAAAATCAGGCTGCTGGTAGTTTTGGTTGGACAATGGGTGGCTGCTGGGTGGGGCGGTTACTGAAATTGCCAAAATGTGGCATCTCATGTAGGGGTAAGCCAGAATCAAGAATGCAGGTTTTTAGTATGCCGGTAATTTGGCGGTTTTTTGCTTGGGGCGTGGTAGCATGCCGGTATCCCAGAAAATTTTTGTGGGGCGGGGCGGTGCCGGTAGCAGCCCATTGGCAAAACTTTGCAACTCTAGTCACAAGGTAGTTCCCCGTTGGGGCTATCCAACGCCGTTTACCGCTTGTCGCTATGTTGCGTGGTTCTCGAGATCTGAGGGGGGTCCAAAATGCCCCCCCCCCCATCAGACCGCGTTGCTCGGCAGACCCCATCAGGGCGCGGGGTATGGGATTTTTGTGTGCCACTGCCTAAATCGGCACAGCCGGCGCTAAAACACCTGGTTTATCGACTTGTTGCTGGCTTCATTTGTGTTGCAACAGCTGGCCAGCTCCTGGCCGTGGGCGCCGAATCACCACCCAACAGCCCTTCCCCCAGCGAGTGGACCCGAGCATTGATATCCAACAGCAACCGTGCCAACAACAAATTAACGTCCCACGACTGCCACTGTTGGCTTGTTTCACCTTTGACCCCACCGGTCTTCTGCATCACTGCGGCTACAGATTGAAACGACCGACGCTGGGTGGTACCCTTGGTGCTGACAATGAACCCAGTGACCCGTATTTGACCTCGTTCGGCCCACTGACCATCTTCTCCACTTGCCCGGTATTGATTTCGATATAGGCGCGCCGGCGGAGCGTCAAACTGCCTGAGGCGCGGGTAGGCGAGCTCTCATGGGGTTCCGCGTGGGGCGGCACCCCGGAAACAGAGCGGTACAGTTGCCGGTACTATGTGGGTCGGGTACCGCCCGCGGCGCCATCATACGGCTGTTGAATGTCCGTATCGATACAGGAACTGAGGAGCAGTCAATGGGTCGTGAACGAACATAACGCTCTGCGATGCATTCAGGAATGCCGACAGAAGAAATAAATAAATGAATAAATAAGTGGAACTCCTCGGCTGGCAATAAGAATGGCATGGCGGTATTGACTTACCATCGATTATTGTAGATACAAATGTTTCTTAGGTGTCCCGTTCCTTGGTCAAACAAAGGCGCCATCACATCAAATGGTTTCCTATTCGTCCGACATTTCTATTAGTGATAGAGTTATGAAAGGTAGCTTCTCTCAAGTTCGAGCCTTTCTGGTGTGTGTCATGTGTTCTGATCTAAGTGTATTGTTGTTTATTATCTGATCTTCCTTCGCTCGCTTTTGGGTTATGTCATGGTTCACGAAGTATTCTATTTTTGGTTTGGCACTGGACCATAGTTTATGCTCACTGCGATGATTTGTGCCTGTATGTGTGCCAGTGACCCGGTCATAGCTGACCTTTGGCAGTAATGAAGTTGTGATCCCCGACTTTATGGCCCCGTCACGGCACGCCGACGGGCCAATGTATACGGACATACGCCGTTCGAGGCTGTGTGGGTGCTGGACGCTGGGCACACGCTCGGACTGATCGGCAGGGAGCGTTGGGCTGCGCCCACCGAACTGCTGCCGCATGACGGGCCCGTGAGTCATGCACTCATGACCGCTGGGATGACGGTGCGTCCTGCGTTACCAGACACCCCACCCCTCTGTACCGTCCCCCCTGACTGTCTGTATCTGACACTCTCCCTACCGTCCCCCCGGCTGTCTGTATCTGACACCCTTCCCCGTCTGCTCCACAGAGGCGCACCGTCAGTTCGAGGCCAAGCGCAAGTCGCACTACAACGAGTTTTACGCCGTGAAGCTGGCCCGGCAGCTGATGGAGAAGGACGAGGAGCTGCTGGAGGCCGAGTCGGAGGAGGGCGCCGGCCCGTCCTCGGCCGCCGGGCCGTCCTCCTCCTCTGCCGAGCCGGCCCCGGCCCCTGACTCGGCTCCGTCAACCAGCTCGTAGACGGACGGCCCGCCGAGACCGGCCCGGCGCCGGAGCCGGTCTGTGTACTGGTTTGGCAGGCGCGCTGTGCGCCGGCCCGGTGCAGCCATTTGTGATACGGTTTAGCCAGAGCGCTGCTGTTGCTGACAGAGTGACGCGGTGACGTGTTGGACGTCGCGTCAACACCTGTCAGTCACGTCAGTCACCTGGTGTCAACGTCACGTCGCCGGATCGACAGCCGCCGTGACGGAACCTGGAGACCAGCCCAATTGTGTGCCGTAGAAGCAGGCGGAGGACGCCTCTGGGACAAAGGAGCTCAGACGGAGGCACATCCTACCCCGGCGGTGACCCGGCGGCCGGCGCGCGCGGAGGCCGCTCATGGTCGCCAAGTCGCGTCACGCCGGTCCGACCAGCTCTCGGTGGACACATCCGTTAGCGCCGCGTCAGGCGAGCGGGGCGGCCGGCGGTGCGCGCTGAGAGGCGGCGTGCCCTATCGACCCGGCGGCGCGGTGACGGAGGCCGCCGGCGGATTCAGACGGCCGCGGGACACGTATGTGATACCTCCCCGACCGGGAGCCGGCCGACCACCCGCTCCGGCTGGGAGCAGAGGCTTTATTTACCGCTGGGCGCGGACAGCACGTGCCGCCGCTGATCCCGCCGATGCACAGTGGCCCTTTTTCAGAATTAGCACGCATAAATTCAAAATATTTTTTCTCTTTTTTTGAGTAAAAAACAGTCTAATCGTGTGCAAAACATTCCAAACTATCCGATGGTGCCATTTTTACCTCCTAAAAAATAATTATCTTTGGTAAAACTGACCGCAAAATCGAAGTTTGTCGAGAGGCGCGCGGACACCACCGGCGGACCCTAAAAAGTAGGGTGAGATGAACATCAATTTGTAAGGCTTTCGGTGAGAAAATATTAAAAATTAGTGGCATGGCTGTGAAGCTGAGTTTACGTAGAAGCCCTAGAAACCACAATTTTCATTGTATAAACTTAAATAGACCACTTTTGCCGAATATTGTGGACACAATAACAGGACAATTATTAACTGGAGATGGCGGCATACATATGAAGCTTTATGTTAAGTAGCACACTCTGGAACATATCGTATTATACATCGCTCGAATCGCCGATCTCTTCTGACCATGACCACCAAAGGGCATCGCGCCATTTTGCGCCATTTTGCTTCTACGGTGGATAACGTGAGCCAGTTCAGTCCGCGAGCGGCTGAGGCTCCTGTTCGATACGACTAAGCTCATTGACCTGGCTCGAAGCTGGTGTCACCTGGTGGGCACCTAAATGTGGCTTGACTTTTGCCATAAGATGTGCTTATTGAAATGTCATGTAGGCGTAACGCTGTGCTCAAGAAAAACTGTCCGATTTCTTGTCGCGTTTGATGTCCAAGCCGCACAAGTCCCGTGGTCGGCTTAAGATCTAACGTCAAAAGCGCCTATGTGCTTGTATTGTTCGCGTCGCGCTAACCTTAGTTGCTGCCCGGCCGGGGCCGACTTAATAACGGTGGCTGGCAACAGTTGTAGATGCGGTCACGTGACGCCCTGGGGCGTCTTGGCGGTCAGTGCAGCGCGGTAGGCTGGCGGGCTCGCCACACTTGCGTTCGGAGCGGCCTGGGCCGGCGGGCGAGCCGTGCGAACGTGCGCCAAATCTTGGGCCGAGCGGCCTGTCGCTGTTGGGCCGAATCTCCTTGGCCAGTTCGTTTCTTTTCTTCTCTTTGCATTGGCAGGGAATACGTCCTTGATCACGTGGTGATGTCTTGCACCACTTGCAGGTAATGTGGGAATTAATGCGTGCTAATTCTGAAAAAGGGCCACTGTGCGATGGTGTTGTCCTACGATGCTGCAGTGCAGCGCGTACTCTGTAGTGTGTAGGGACGTAGGAGGCGTCAAATTACGGCGCGGAAGTACTCCAGCTCGGAAAGTCATCGGCCGTGACCGGCCTTCTGATACAAACTCGGTACTTCCAGGCCGGCCCGAGGGACCGGCCGAGTGCCGTCGCCAGGCTCATCAGTGGAATAGCGCGCTAGGATGGATGTTTTGAGTATAAAGTCAGCGTCTCCGCGCGGGGTCGCGTTAGACCATCGATAATGTCCTGTTCGCTCCTCGTGCATGTCTGTGTCTATCTGGGTGCGAATGCAGTGCAGATTGTGTGGGAGATCACAGATAGCGTCTGATTGTCGCCGGTGTAGCAAGGATCGCCCTCCGAATTATCCCGGCTGATTGTCGTTGCAATAAACGTCGAATGCTGGTGTCACATGCCGCGTGCTGCTTTGTTCCCTTTCATCGATTCCGCGGCCCCACCCACTCCGCCTTTGGAGGGTTATTGCCACTAACCGTCGCCTCGCCGCAGAATAACTGGCGGCCGGCGCCGGCCCACTCGGTATTCGGCCCGAGTCCGACAAACTCCGCTCGAACGCTGCGTTTGAGCCGAGGAACTGCCGCCAGCGACGACCCCGTAATCCGAATTCACCCCACCCCGCGCCCTGGGGGACGACCCGTGCGCGTGAGGTCCTTTACAGACACGAAGAGCTAGTTCGTCGTAAGAGTCCTGCCGCGCAATTCGCCGGGAGAGACTCCGGAGAGCCGGGTAGATTAGTCCGGAGAAGGGCGTAAGAGGATCGCTGTTTCCTTTATCCTCCGGCGGCGGTACGAGCTCCATTATACGGCTGTTGCTGGGCGGGTCTCTAAAGATCGACGGCACACAGTAGGAAGGAGAAGACATCGTAAAGAACACGTGATTTGTGGCAGGCGCCGGATGTCGGGCGCGAATAAAAAGTGCGGCGGATGATATTATCCAGACTGATTCGGCGCCGCGACCGGCGCTACTGGTCGGCGCACTGCGCAGTCGGGAAATACGATTCGAACGAAGGGAACTGATACGTATAAACTCAACAGCCGGCTGAAGCTGAATAAGCCTGCTGCAGATGGCGCAAACCGGGTCCACCCGGCTCAGACTTTCGACCATTTCGATTCGCTGCTGGAACGGACACTGGAAATAACTTATGGTGGCAGCCAGTTCGTAAAATCCATTGTCGGTGGCTGTTGTTGACGGGTTTGACCAATGCGGTGACCCAGGGTCCAGCAGAGTCCGGCGGCACATCCAACAAAATAATACAGCACGTGTCGTGTCGTTTATTGTCCGCGCAGCACTACACATTAGTCGAGCACTGCGACGGCCGCACACCATACGGCTTCGACTGCGTACGTCTGACAATCACGCGGCAGTTTCATTACGCTGAATCGACGAACTTGCGATCACGTTCGCTTATCTTGTTACGAACATTGTAAATTCATAATTTATCGCAAACAATGGGGTAATTTTTGCACGTAAAATGGACATTTACAAGCATGCGAAATGCTCACGTCCTGATTACATGCAGCTGGCTTCAGATACCTACGTCAAAAGCTCATTGCTAATCGCAGACATGCTCAGAAGTGTTACAACTCAGCACTCTGTCCTAACATCTAACCAGACCGGCATCACCAGGGCGGCCACGTGAATACATCCGTGAACGACAAGACTCGAGTCATGACGATTGTACGTTGTACGGATGGTACCGGAATCCCAACAAAACACCAAATCACATGGAACACAGCTAATACTTGCGGGACCACTGTGCGCGATCAGACATAGCTGCCCCCCCCCCCCCCACCCCGCCTATCCCTTCACGTGGCGTTGGCACACTCATTGGACAGAACGCCTCTCTAAAATACTACTCTCACTATACGTCTTCCTTCGGACAACTGGTAACCGAAATTTGATCGTACGCGGTACATGACAGTCATAGCAAAACGCTTACAACACAAACAACACCGCAACTGAAAATAAACAATACAGTACACTGATGGACTGAACTTCTGCCGATGGCAATCACCGAGCCTCCCTAACTACCAGAGGCGTCCACAATAAACATGCAGCCAGTTCGTAATTTTTGTCAAATATAGTAATATAGTAACGCACCTAGAATAATACAAATTAGCGCTCGACATAGTCGTTCCCTGCTGGAAGGAGCGATGCCATCACGGCAATAGCGCTGGCATCGTTGCTAAACGAGCCGCGGCAGCACAACTCGCCTCGGTTGGTTGACATTCACTCTATGTGCGACCCTGACTACCTATCGACCCAGGCCTTGTTGCCGGGCCCAGACCAAACGGGACGGTTTGGACCGGAGCGGTTAGTGAGCGATTTTCCCGCCTCCCGGCCCGGAGACACAGACTACTCTCCCGGCAGCACAGGACAGCGCCGGAGACTCCTGTCCCGACAACCCAGGACAGCGCAGAAGACAGACGGTGACGGGGTGCCGGGGAGCAGCAGACGGTCGGGTAAGCCTGTCGTGACGGTGTCTCGTCCATCACGGCGGCTACAGCCGGCCGGCCGGGGTGCCCGGGTGACACGCCACGCGAGTGGACAGGGTGGCAGTGGCAGCGGTCCCACCCCTGTCCCCTACCCCACCAACATCGGCGGGGCACGAGCATGCACCGAATCACCTGTTGCCTCTCGCTGCTCCGACTGAACGGTCAAGGACGCAGGCATACAAGCACACCCAAATGCGCACAAATTCCTACACGGACACACTGCAGCGGGGCGGCGCGCAACATTTCAACTCGCAGCGACGCGAACACTCGCATCCATGTGCGCTCAAAAGACGAGAAGTTCGCGCTCATGGCGCGGTATGTACACAAACTGCAACCCCGCACTCGCACACAATTTGGGGCCTGCAAACGCACCCTATGTGCACCAGAACTCACACTGCACAAAACAGAAGTAGCTAGCAAAACTGTGCGATTCGACTCGCAAACATCAATCAAACTATCAGTAAATGGGAATGTGAATTACTAGTAGTCGCACCAAAATTGGGCGTGACCGTGGCCAATCTGGCACCACACTAGGCATTCCCACACCGGCTAAAATAGTAGGTACACGAGGGGCGTCCTATTACGCTGAAATTCGCCCAGTCATGAGATTATGCATAAATCAACGGTAGACTGATTGGATAGGACCCGGCGAATGTCTTTTTCTTGACATGATCAGTGTAGTTATTCATAATGGACTAGGATATGGCGCCTAGCAGTTAATGAAAATATAAAATGACAAGCATCGCAGTAATAACACAAGCAGCATGGAAGCAATTATGTGCCCATTCGGAACATTGGATAGATAAGGTTAAAAGAAGAAAAAAAGATAAATACAAATATTTGGCAATAAATCACAAAAGATAAGTAGCTGGACGCAAGAAGTATGGACAAATATTAAATACGGTACCGAGACACACAACAAGAGTACAGAGAAGACTGAAGACATCACATACATAGGCATCGTCATCACCGAAAAAAAAACGTGTCTGGTCTTCAGCAGAAAATGTAAAAATAACCCCACAAGATTGTAAAAACATCTAAGCAAATATACCTTCTTATGGGTAAAATTGTTCAGCTGGTTCCACTTCACTAACCACTAGCATCACCGTCGTGTTGTTCTCATGACGCCTTCCCTGGCTCTGCGCCTGACAGTACAAATCTAACATCTATCACCAGGGCTAATTAAACTATAAACCAATCACTTACAGCTCCATGTCACAGAAAACACGGACTAACACTGTGAATACTAGCAGATCACAGTCCGCCTCTAATTGATCCCTACCT